ATAATAAATTTCTTTACACTGAGAGGAGAAATATCTAAAGAGTAGAAAGTATTTATTCGGTGATCTTGTCATTGGCCCCCGCGATTATTCTCAATTCTCTTGAGAAGAGCAAAGGACGAGTCGTATTTTTCTCGAGATATTCCCGTTCCCCGACTATTTTATAAAAATACTCGTTTTCTCGCGTCGTTTCACCGCTCTCATAACTGCCACTTCGTGGATTCGACGTCCGTTTTCTCCCTTCTATCTCACTTCTTCTTAACGTGCCGCCGAGACTTCCGACAAAAGGGAATAAGCAAATCAAATACGCGCAGTCGTCAGTCGACGTCGGCATGTCGATTCTTCGGAGACGCTTGGCGCGTTCTCGTTAATAAGCCGAGCCGCGAGCTCAATTATCTCGGTCTCTCCGGGGCTGCTTATTAATCAATTCGTCTCTGCAATCAGAGGGAAAACACACGTCGAGAAAGAGCCCGCGGCTCGGAACTTCCTCTTGCGCGAGAAGCTCTCTTGTGAAACCCGGCAGTGATGCGTCGCGCCGCTTTTCTCGCGTTCGGAAAATGAGCGACGTGTAGCAGATTTTCCCGAGACCGTTTATAGAATGACCTGCTCTCCAGACATATTTTCGTTATAAAGAACATATGTTACTTACAAAAAGTCTATCATTTCCCTACTAAATTCTCGTACAAAGTTTGTTAAAAAAAGAAACTACTAATAATTTTTATAAATATTATCAATTCTTTGAAAAAATGAATAATTTCATTTCTTATTATTACTTGACAAACACGACGAATCTTTTGTATTAACCTAATAAAAAAGATGAAGATTCTTCAGCATCTTCAGATAATATTGCCTTTACACGCAGAAAAATATTATGCTCTTTTAGCAAAATCGTCGTTGCTACTGCATATTCGTAGTGACATCAAAAAAATTTAATTGACGTAACTAATTTTACAAATTATTCGTTATCAAAGCAGAAGTAGTTTCGTTGTCAGGATAGAAAAATTTGTTGAGTGTATTTATCCTAAAAATCACGTTAATTTGCTATTGATGCAAAATAATGTATCCTTAGCAAATTTATTTGCTATCGGAGCAAAACTGCAGCTGCTTATATAAATCCATCACGGTTCTTATAGCAAAATAATTTATAGATTCAGCAAATTATATTCAGCAAATAGTGATTAGTACTCTTAGCAAATCTTTTTACTGTCTATATAATAACGAAAAGATTTTGCTAGACCAGCAAATTATTTTTCTCCGTGCATAAATAATCGGACACAACATGAATGACTATCGGATCCTCGAGGCACTCGAGTTGATGAGAGCCTGGTCGCGGATTTTGACGCAACATTTTACAATAATTAGACGATCCCCGGATAATTGGGTGAGAATCTCCCGGCGGAATAATCACGGAAAATCGGCTCGCGGTGTTCGGAAGGGAATCCCCAAGTTTTCTTCCTCGTTTCGCTGTTTTTCTCCGATCCTTTTCCGCTCGCGACGGCACGGCGTGGCGGCCAAGCCGTGCTCTACTTTTACGATCCGGATCGCGCCTGCACGCGCAAACACAGCACCAGGGCGTTTCTCGAACAGAGCCGCGCTCTCGAACACTCCGGACGTGTGAGCGCAAGGTCGACCAAAAATCCGGTTACTTTTCCGTTGCGTAATTCTTCGCCGCCGCCACCGCCGCCGCCGTTGTGGCTACTGCATTTATCGCGTTCTCGTTCTCGTTGAAACGCGCGACATATCGTGAGCGATGATACACGGCCAGCGATCGTGCACGCGCTTTTGAGGCGCATGAAAAGTACTTAAGGCGCTCGTTTGCGAAATTGACGAATTACTCTGGCATGGGCACGCTTTGCCCGCTCGACCGATCGGTTTATATTCGCGAAAGAGATCGCCCAGGTAGCAGACTCACGTCAAAATGACGTTCAAATCTGGTCAGTTGATGATCAAAAATGACCAAGGAATGAGTAAAAATGTCATGAAAGTATCGTCAAAATGACGGTCTAATATCACAGACCAATGACGACATTTTAGACGACTTAATGACGTTTTATGATAACTCTAAACGTCAATAATACGTTATTAAGACGTTGTATAGAAACGTTATTAAGACATCATAAGACGTTAAAAAGACATCGTTATTTAGTCACTTGACGTCAATCGACCAGTTATGACCAGTTTTGGACGTCATTTTGACGTGAGTCTGCTACTTGGGCACTGATTCGTACATAACGCGGCTTTCAACCTAAATCCTGATTCATTTATAGGATAAGAGTAAAGTTTGAAAGGTCCATTACAAAAGTCTCGCATGCGGTAAAGCAGTTTGGACGTTCAAATGAGAACGAAACGTCAAGATGAGATTAAATCAAAGTTCGTCGAAGATGATCGATCGTGTCGCGATTAATCTACCAGGTGTAGAAGTATGAAACCGGAATTCCCCTATAAATGGTGCCAGCGTTCAGTTTAGTGACCGTAAGACCGCTACTGCCGCGCTATTATATTCTCCTAACAGCTGACGAATATTGTCAACAAACATAACCCCAACTTTCATTCTCTAGTATATTTTTGTATAACCTTAAACATGTCACGTTTCGAGCCTACTAACTATGATTTGCGGACAGCATTGATTTTCTGTTATCATTTAAAGAAAACTGCTGCAGAATCACATCGAATGCTTGTCGAAGCTTACGGTGAATATGCTCTTGGTAAATCTCAGTGTTTCGAGTGGTTTAAAAAATTCAAAAGTGGTGATTTTGACGTGAGGAACGAAGAACT